ATTCTCGTCAATAAACAACTAGTGGACAATGGCAATTAGTATGAAATCATTTACCAGCTCGGCTAGATTACATTTTGGCTGAGGACTTCACCTTTTTGTGTTTTACTGAGCTCATCTGTAAAATGAAGATACTAACGGTGCTACTTCACAGGCTTTGTGAAAATTTAAAAATACGTATTTGTAAAGGTCCTAGAATATAATAAGTGCTCAATAAACAGTAAGAAAAAACTAATCCTGTATAATTGTTAAAATTCTACATTTCAAGCTTATTCAAAAGTGGAAAGAATAGTACAAAGACCACTTTCTATCCATCACTTGGATTTAAAAGGATTTAATAACCAGTATGGCTATACTGGTACGTTCAGGCTGATTATTGGTCCTACGTACAGACTGAAGGGTGGGAATGGGAGGAAACGAGGAGAAAGGCAGTGGGGCAGAGGCTGTCCTCATCAAACATCCTGTGTGTGCCCCCCTTCATTTCCAGCCTCCCTTACAGTTAGGTGGGGGCCATATGACTTAAGCCAGCCAGTGAACATCAGTGGAAGTGGATCACTTATGGGTCAAAGCAGTTAAGAGATTATGTGCCTCCCCCGCCCCGTGTTTCCTTGCCAAGGGATGAACGAGGGCCACCTCGCCTGCACAGACTTTGTATGAATGCAAATAAAACCATAGCTGTTTTAAGCCATTGAGATTTAGGTGTTGATCTGTAACCAGAGCTATCCTAGCTAGCTGCACTGCAGCCAGGGAAGGTCTTCTTGGCTGGCAGTGCTGTAAGCTGGCATCCGTGCTCTCTGGGACTGGCAGGTGTTTAAGACATTTCTTCTCATGGCATTTTCATGAGCTCTTCAGAAATGCTCCCACACACCACCAGAAACAGCTAAGTTGCTGTTCCCTTGAAGCAACAAATGCATATCCTCAGATGGTCACTAACGTTTCCCTCTTCAGTGTTTGGACACCTGACGTTACACTTCCTGCTGTGGCTTCCTGCCCCTTGCAGGTAGCCCTCTCATGCGGCATGAAAGAAAAAGCCTGGTCAGCTTTCGCTATTAGCAAAGCCCATATCTGGTACACATAATGATGCACAGAGCACACTCTCTCATCCCTGGACTCTGACAAACTCTGCTTCCCTCTTCCACCAGCCCAGCAAGCACCTCTGCTCACACCACTTGTTTTTCTGTTTCACAAGCAGGAGGTGGAAGTAGTCCATAGCATTTCCACAGAAGCCCCCTAACTAGGCTGGCGTGAAGAGGAAGCACCCTGCCCCTCCCGCCGGCCGGGTGGGTAGGCGGGCAGCTGTTCAGATGTAGGCTGCCAGTTCTCAGATGCCTACTTAAGTGGCGGAGTCTCCATGTTAGAAGGTGAGAGACTTTTGGCCTATTATTTTCAGGCCTATTATCAACCTCCTTTTTTAAGTCTCAGGTAAAATAGACATTAAAAGAGTCCCATTTTTACATCCTATTAAACGAGAATAGTCAAGAATATACCTCCTTGGGTTGGTACTGAGTCAAAGTAGGCGAGAGGGACCAGGCCTTGTGGGGAAGAAGGCAAGGTGGCAGCCATCCACTCATTCAGCAACATGCTGGGGACGGAAGGGTGAAACAAGCAGACAAGGGACCCCAGCTTTCACGTGCCTTGTAAGGAAATGTGAGAGACAAACAATAAATAAACAAATGACCCAGAGAGATTTGCAGAGAGATGAATGAGATAAAGAAAACAAAAACAGGGCAACACACTATAGAGTGGCATGGGGAAGGACTAACAGAGAGTGGCAGGTCAGATAAGCTGTCACGGAACGTATTGGTCAGGATTCTGCAAGGAAGTAGCCGAGAAACAGACCAAACAGAGGATTCACACACAGAGGCACATTTATTTCAAGGAATTGACTTATGTGGGTGTAGGGACTGGCCAGCCCACAATCCGTGGGGTAGACCAGCAGGCTAGGTCAGTCGGGCAGGAGCAGCTGCTGCAGTCTTGAGGCAGAATTTTTCTCCCACAGGGAAACCTCAATGTTACTCGTAAGACTTTTCAACTGATTGGATGAGGCCCACCCACATTATTAAGGAAAATTTCTTATAATTAAAGTCAACTGTTGTAAATATTAACTATAGCTACAAAATGCCTTCTTCACAGCAACACCCCTATTCCTAATTGGTTGATGAACTGGACACTATAGCCTAGCCAAGTTACACATAAACTAACCATCACACTGAGGAAGTACGAATTAAACTGAGATCTGACTGACCAGACAGAGCCAGACATGGGAAGAACTGGGGAGGGACATTTCAGGCAGGAGGAGGAGCTAGTGTTAAGGCTCCAAGGCTGACACGATATTTATACACTGTTGTGGACTGAGTTTTTGTGTCCCCTCCAAACTCATATGTTGAAATCTAACCCATAATGTAATGGTATTTGGAGGTGGGGGGACTTTCAAGTATGATTAGATCACGAGGGTGGAGCCCTTTTGAATGGAACGGAGTTTCCAGTCCAGCATGTTAAGGGGCTTGGAAGTCGTCACTCTATTCTAACAACAAGAAAAAAGCTGAACAAACTGAAAGGTCAACAACTCTTCTTAGATCTATCAGAGAAGTGAGGTCACAGGGCAAACTTCTGCTCTCCAAGTTGGAGTGATAGACAAGTGAATATATACAGACAATCACAACTTACCAGAGGAGAAAGCCAGGAGCAGAAACTTCTGTAAGAACCAATGCTGAGTTAGGAAATCTTCATTGTAATGGGTCAGTTGAGGAGATTCGGCATGGACAAGTCTGAGAGTTAAAAACACCAAGGGTACCAGTCATGAAAGGCTCCCACCCTTTTGTGAGTTTTATTGCCAGGAGTTCTACCAGAGTGAATATTGCGGGGGAAATTCCCTTGTGCTTTTGGCAAAGGGATTGGGAAAAGAATCATTTTGAAATACTCGAGAAGATCTGTTCTTAACAAAACCTGTCTCCAAGAGAAAGTATTTAATTAGGGCCTAACCTGCTAAGGTTTTATCAGAGCCTAACTAACTTGGGAGAAGGGAAGTACCCAACTCTGGAACCCTTTAGCCATCCTGCCCCTCCGTGGGGTCAGGGGGTAGAGCTAAGAAGCATCAAGGAAGTTCACAGTCCAGGGGTACAGGCTCACTGAAAGACTCAGACCTAATTATAGGGCAAGAGAACACTTCCCTAACCCCAACAGCTTAGACCTATTTACTGACATTCCTTTTGCTCAGTACTTCATGTGCAGTTATCAAAAAAAAAACAAAAAAACAAAAACTGCAAAGCATACTAAAATGCAAAAACACTGAAGAAATGGAGCCAGCATCAGAAACAGACTGAGATGACATCAATATTAGAATTATCAGACAGGGATTTTAAAACATTTATGATTAATATGCTAAAGGCAGTAATAGGTAAAGCAGACAATATGCAAGAACTGACTGGCAATGTAATCAGAGGGATGGAAATTCTAAGAAAGACTCAAACAGAAATGTTAGCGATCAAAAACACCATGCCAGAAATGAAGAAGGCCTTTGATTGGCTCATTAGAAGACTGGCTGAGAAAATCTCCGCTCTTGTGGATATGTCAATACAAACTTCTAAAATGAGAAAGCAAAGAGAAAAAAGACTGAAAACACAGAATAGAATGGAATATTCCAAGAAGTTCGGGACAACTATGAAAGATGTAACATGCATATAATGGGAATACCAGAAGGAGAAGAAAGACAGAAAGGAATAGAAGAAACATTTGCAGCAATAATGACTGAATTTCTCCAAATTAATGTCAGGCATCAAACACAGATCCAGGAAGCTCATAGAACACCAAATGAGATGAATGCCCCCCAAAATACCAAAGAATTATATCTGATGTCTCCTCAGAAACCATGCAAACAAGAAGAGAGTGGAGTGAAATATTTAAAGTATTGAAAGAAAAAACCCCACCAATTTAGCATTCTCTACTCTATAAAATTATTCTTCAAAAGTGAAGGGAAAAAAAAAGACTTTCTGAGAGTAGCAAAAATTGAGAGAATTTGTTGCCAGTAGACCTGTTTTGTAAGATTTGTTAAAAGAAGTTCTTCCAGGAGAAAAATGATACACATCAGAAACTCAGATCTACATAAAGAAAGGAAGAGCATCAGAGAAGGAATAAACGAAGCTAAAATAAAAAATTTTATTTTTCTTATTCTTAACTGAACAGATAATAGCTTATTTAAAAATATAATAGCCACAGTGTATTTAATTTTGTATACATGTGCTTATGTATAAGTGAAATGAATGGCAGCAATGACACCAGATTTGGGAAGGAGAAATAGCATTACCCTGTTATTGGAAGGGACTGGCAGTACCCATGAAGAGGTATAATGTTATTTGAAAGTGGACTTGGATTCGTTGTAAATGTATGCTATAAACTCTAGGGCAACCACTAAAAAAGTAATAAAAAAGAAGAATAGCTGAAATGCAGAGAAAGGAAAGAAAATGGAATCATATAAAATGCTCAGTTAAAACCACAAAAGGGAGAAAGAGTGGAAGACAAAAATAGAAACATAGAACAAGAGCAACAAATAGAAAATAGTAACAAACATGGTAACGATTAATCCAACTATATGTGAGTCTGGAATTTACGGAAGACCTCAGGGCTAGAGATATAAATGAAGGAGCCATCAGCCTATAGACATTATTTAAAACAATTAAATTAGATAACGATTTGCACAGAGACTGAGAGTAGATAAAGGAGAGTCAAGAGCCTAGAAGCACGCGTGCGGTCAAGCTGTTACAGCTCCAGTTGAAGAACAGGGAACTGCTGTGGCAAGGGGAAGGCAAACAGTCAAGGTAAGGAAATTCCAGGTCAAGAAGGAAAACGGGATTGTTCAAGTCACCCAGATAGGGCAGTCTTCCTCAGGGGGATACTTGTTCATGAAGTTCACTTAAAAATCAAGCTGGTGATGGCCGCTGAGATGCTGTTGTCAATATTAAAAAAAAAAAATCAATGTGGACTCTGCTTTTAAGGAACAAGTACACTTTTCTCTAAATATAAGTACCAAAAATATTTACACCAGCATTTACAGGTAGACAATCCTATAGATCAGGGATTCTCCCTGACTTAAACAGAGTGAAAATACTGTTTCCTCCCTGAATAACCTGGCTCTGAAAATGCCCGAATCCTAAAGGGCCCTATCAGTCCCATAGAAATCCACTCCAAGATATATCATGGTCAAAATTGTGAAAACTAGAGAAAAAGAAAAATCTTGAAAGTAGATAAAGAAAAATAATACCTTATCAATAGAAGAAAAACAATTCAAACATCTCTGGATTTCTCATCAAAACCACAGAGGCCAGAAGAAAATGGCACAACATTTCTCAAGTGCTAAAAGATTAATCTATAAATCTAGAATCCTATCTTTCAAGAATAAGGGGAAATCACAACATTCCCAGATGAAGAGAAACTAAGAGAATTTGTTGTCAGCAGATCTATTTTTTTTCCAGCAGATTTATTCTAAAGGAAGTTATTTACACAGGATGCAAATTATTAAAAATACAAACCTGGGATCATCAGGATGGAAGAATGAATACAGTAAGAAAAAATAAGTAAACGCAATAGACTTTCTCTTTTTGAGTTGTATAAATTACATTTGATGATCAAAACAACAACAACAAAAATATAACAAGGCCTGATGTGGTTCTGAAAAATATAGGGGAACATATTTAAGAAATTATATTATAAATAGGAAAGTGTAAAAAATGCAAAAGGGAAGTAAGGTTTCTACACGTCACTTAAACTGATAATATGATGATAGCAGAAGACTGTAATAAGGTATGGATGTACAGTGTAATAATACTTAGATAAACTACTTAAAAACTATTCAAAGAGATACACTCAAAAACATTACAAGTAAATCAAACTGAAATTCTAAAAAATGTTCAAGTAACCCATGGGAATGCAGAAAAAAGGAAACAGAGAAATAAAAAACAACAGAGAACAAACAAACAAAAGACATAAAATGGCAGACTTATGCCCTAATTCATCAATAATCATTTTAAAGGTAAGTGATCTAAATACACCAATTAAAAGATAGAGCTTAGCAGAGTAGATTAAAAAACATGACCTAACTCTATGCTGTCTAAAAGATACTACTTTAAATAAAATGATATAGGCAGCTAGAAAGTAAACGGATGGATAAAGATGTATCATGCAAACATTGATCAAAGGAAAGCCTCTATGAACATCAGGTAGACTTTAAAGCAAAGACAATTAAAAGAGACAGAGAAGAATATTTTATTACAGTACCCCCCTCAATAAAAGGGTCAATTGACCAAGAAGGCACAGACATCCTAAGTATATATGCGCAAAACAACAGAACTGGAAAATGTGTGAAGCAAAAACTGATAGAACTGTAAAAAAAAATAGACAAATGCAAATTATACTTGGAGAGTTTAATCCTTCTCAATAATTGATAGAACAGTTACATAGAAAATCAGAAAGGATTCAGAAGAACTCAGTAACATCATTGGTTAACAATGGATCAATAAACATTTGTAGAATGCTCCACTCAACAACAGCACAACATCCATTCTTTTCAAGTGCCCATGGAACATATACTAGGATAGAACAAATCCTGGACCATTAGAGCAAACCTCAACAAATTTAAAAGAATCCAAATCAAAGTGTGTTCTCTGACCACAATGGAATCAAACTAGAAACCAATAACAGAATGATAAAAAGAAAATTTCCAGATACTTATAATGCAAACAACACACTTTTAAATAATATATGGGTCAAAGAAGATATCTCAAGGGAAATTTTAAAAAATACATTGAATTGAAAGAAAATGAAAATAGAGCATACTAAAGTTTGTGGGACACAGCTAAAGCAGTGCCGAGAGAGTAATTTATAGCATTAAATGCATATATTAGAAAAGAGGAAAGTTTCAAATAATCTAAGCTGTCACCTTAAGAACTTAGAAAATGAAGAGTAAAGTAAACTCAAAGCAAGTAGGAAAAAGGAGATAATAAAGATAAAAGCGGAAATCAATGAAATTGAAAACAGAAGGACAGTAGAGAAAAATCAATGAAAAAAGACTTGGGCTTTTTTTTTTTTTCTCAAAAATCAATAAAATTGACAAACTTCTAGCAAGACTTACAAAAAAAAGGGAGAATATTGAGTTACCAGGATCAAGAATGAAACTGAAGATACTACTACAGACATCAAAAGGATAACAAGGGAATACTACAAACGACTCTGTAAATACATTTGACAACTTAGATGAAATGAACCAATTCCTCAAAAAAAAGCACAAACCAGCACAGCATATGAAAAAGAAAATAAATATCCTAGAACCATTAAGAAATTTCAATTCATAATTTGAGAAACTCCCCAAAAATGAATCTCTAGGCCCAGAAGTTTTCACTTGAGAATTATAACAAATATTTAAAGGAGAAGTAACACCAATTCCATGCAATCGCTTCCAGAAAATGCAAGAGAAGGAAACACTTCTCAATTCATTTTATGAGGATAGCATTAGCCTCATACCAAAACTAGAAAAAGACAATTAAAAAAAGAAAACAAAATCCAATGGCCATTATGAATACAGATAGAAAAATCCTTAACAAAGTATTACCAAATAGAATCCAGCACTACATAAAAAGAATTACACATCATGACCAAGTAGCGTTTATTTCAGAGATGCAAGAGTAGTTCAGTATCTAAAAATCAGTCATTGTAATTCATCAAATTAGGCTACACAAGAAGACTCACGTGACATAATCAATGCAGAAAAAGCATTTGACAAAGTTCAAAGTTTATGATTTAAAAAACTCTCAGAAATATGAAATGGAAAATATCTCTTTCAATTCAATAAAGAACTACAAAAAAATTTAAATTACAGTTAGTGGTTAAAGACTGAATATTTTAACCTTAAGATCAAGAACAAAGCAAGGATGCCCACTCTCACCTCTCTTATTCAACATAGTGTTTGAAGTTCTAGCTAGTGCAATAAGGCAAGAAAAAGAAATAAAAGGCATGCAGATTAGAAATAAATAAAACTGTCTTATATGCAGATAATATGATTGTGTACATAGACAATCACCAGGAATTTACCAAAAAACCCAAAAATGAATACAACAAGGTCACAGGATACAAGATAAACATACAAAATTCAATTGCATTTATATATACTAACAATGAGCAAACATATATCAAAATTAAAAATACAATATAATTTGGAATTGCTTAAAGAAAGAAATACTCAGGTGTAGATCTTTTAAAAATAGTACAGGGCTTGTATGCTGAAACTAAAAATCACTGATAAAAGAAATCAAAGAAAATCTAAATAAATAGAGAGACATATTGTGTTCTTGGATGGAAAGACTCAGCATAGTAAAGGTATTAATTCTCCCCCAAATTAATGTGAAAGTTTAACACAATCCCTATCAAAATCACAGACATTTTCTGGTAGTTATAGACAAGCTTATTCTAAAATGTATATGGAAAGACAAAGAAAGTGAATAAGTTAAAAATTACTTGAAAGAAAAGACTGAAGTGAATATATTAGTGACTAGGGTTCCCATAATAAAATAGAATACAAACTTACTTAATTTTAAGCAAGAATTTCCAAATCCAAAACATGGCCAGGGTCCTTTTCCTTCCTTTTCCTTTCCCTTTCCATTTCTTTCCCTTCTACTTTTTCCCTTAGGAGCACCTAGTGTTATCCAGTGGAACACTGGAGGTCCACAGCACCCAATTTCAGACATAACGTTATTATAGACAATCGGTTCCTTTGACATAGGGTGCAATTTTTAAGTTTTTACTTTAAGCCCTCTCTCAATTCCTCTCTGGCTGCGTCTGTGCATTTTGGCCAATTCCTGGGATTCCACCTCTTTCTCTTTGAGTTCTTAGTCCTCTCTTCTGCACTGAATTCAGGACTCCCTGAGGGCAAGAACCTTGTCTTCTTCCTCAGAGTCAATCAAGCACTTGCTTCTTACCCACCTCAGCCCCTCCCCTGGCACCCTTCTGGGTGTCCAGGCATAATCTGTCATTCTTCTGAAGTGAACCAGCACTCCCCCCTCCTTTGGGGAACTGATCCTCTCCCCGTGTGAATTATGTCATTCTGGTGGCTACCCCTCACACTCTGTCACCTCCCTGACATGGGACACAGGGGTCAATGATAGGACCCCATTCCCCTGGCCAAAGTGATTGAGCATAAGACCCAAACCAAGCTAGCAGAAGCCTTTCCCTGGAATTATCCAGTGTGGAGTTGGAAGAGAAGGAGTCTTGCCTCCTAGGTCATAGCAGCTGGAAACATAAATCTGAAGCCATGTTACCAATTTTGAGTCTCTCTGTGGTAAGAGGGAGCTTAAAGCCACAGAGACAAGCAGAGTTAAGGAATATAAAAAGTTCTAATGCAAGTCGTTGAATCTCTGGGACCCTGTGGATAGTGTCACCCCTGGACTTCTCACTTACTTTAGCTAATACATTCTTTTTACTTAGGTGAGTTCAGGTTGGATTTCTATCACTGCAACTAAAAAACAATTTCTAACTAATACAACCCATTCAGTTTCTCATTCATTTCTGATCACCCTAATAAGCAGTAAAGATTGGAGCTTTTCATGCATCATTTTAACCCATTTGGATACATGGAACACATTTTTACATTTTGATATAAACCTGATGAGCTCTCCAGGCACCTACCATGCTCTTCATGAATGGGACTGAGGACAGATGTGTTCTGATGAAAAGAAGTCAGGAAAGGTCTGAAGCCTGGAGGATGTCATGTGAGGCAGCCAGTGAGGAGAATGAGGAATATTGAGAGTTGGGTACAAAAGGCCCCTTAAAGGAGAAGTTGACCTCTCATATGAATATGTTAGCTTTTCCAAAACGTTTTATGGGAGTGAGCCTTCATCAGTCAACCAGAGCCCTGTGTTAGCAGGGAGGGAAGGGGATGGTCTGGGAAACCCAAGAAGAAGTAGCAGAGATTAACATTCATTTGGTGCCTAATATGTGGCAGACACTGTGCTGGCTGCTTTTGGTGTATTATCTCTCACAACCACACAGCAGGCTCAAAAATGGCGAATAACGATTAGCCCAAGGTGGTGGGTTCGGGATTCAAACTCAGGTCTATTTGCCTCCCCTCCAAAGCCTCCAAACCCAGGGCTCTTTACACTCTGGTGTGGGCCTGTATCCAGATCCCAGGATCTGTGGCTTGGGAGAGGGTGGAGCTTGCCATCAGGAGAGCAGAACCAGGTCAGCGTCAGAACAATTTCCCTGACTTGACCCGCACACAGGGCTGCCTCTCTCTTCTCTGGAACAGAAGAAAGCTCCGGTAGTCTCCTGGTGGGTTGTAGGAGCCTAGGGCATTTGAGGACCTGATCGGAGTTGGGAGGAAGGAGGTGGAGGCGGATATTTCTATGGAACTAGGTTGCCAAAAATTGGGGAAGTGTTCAAGAAAGGCACTACTGTACAAGGAGATGGGTGTGATCATAATCTTTTCTCTCAGTCCCCAGCAAAACCAATGACCCAAGGCTGTTAGCAGCAGGGTGGGCAAGTAGAAGGGAGTAGCATTTTCATGAAGACTCTACAAATAAGGACTCTGGTTCCATATTATATAATCTAAAAATGCCCCCACCACCTACCCCCACCCCCACGCACAGGAGAAGGAAAGGGGAAAAAAACCTCCCAGAAATCACACAGTCAAGGCAAATGCAGCGAAATGGCTCATTGGTTACTGTGGCAACCGACTCTACCCTGCTCCGGCTGCTTATCCCACGATCCCTCTGTCACCCTATTTTTAGACTGAAGACAACGAATGAAAACGGCTTTAAAATATTTTTTTTCTTTTCTGTATGTTGAAGACATGCATAACCTTTTAAAAAAGACTCAGAAGCCCAACCTCTAGTGTAGGGGCAAGTCCCCCAGTCCTGATATAAGGTGACCCTCATTTCTCTGAGACCCGGACCACCTCCACCCAGGGGAGGGTAATGGGTTTCGTATGCGTTAAAGGGCAACAAATAAGGAGGAGAAACCTGAAGAGACTGGATGGAGCATAAAGAGCATAGGCACACGTGCAAAGTAAGGTGGAGAACCAAAGTCATTAAAAATCAACAAAATAACTGTTTTTGAGGAATGAGAGAAGTTTTGAATCATCTGGCTAACTCACCTCACCTCCATATTTAATTGTCCTCATCTGTAAAATAAAGGGGCTGATGGTCTTTCAGAATTTTGATAACCTCCAAGATTCTTTAAAGCTCTCAAATCTATGACCTTATTGTTTTAAATAGGGGTCTCATTAACCTTGCAAAGGAGCCAAATTATAAGAATCTACTCGAGTTTTCCTGAGTAACAGTCCCAAATCTTGCTAGTGTTTGGTGTTTTGTTTTATTTTGTTTTTTCAGTTGTGATATTTGAGAAATGTTATTGTGGACTATCTCTGTTTTTTATTCTAAAGGAAAGATACTTAAAAAAAAAACCTTTTGTGCTGATGAGATGACAAATGAAAAACTGTAAATGCCTTTTCCTCCTAGAAAACACTGAATGGGTGCGACACACACTTAAGATGTTTTCAAGGGAAAAGTGGCCTACTACAATTCAATGGCAAATAAAGTATCAACTAAAACCTAAAGCAATAGGCTTGTTCTGTGTCAGAAAATAGAGCAGGGTCAGAGGAAGGGAAAAGTTAGAGAATGCTCACGGAAGAAGGAGAAAAAAATCTAACCTAGATAAAAGCCACATGCTTGATTTAGTTGATTCTGCACAGTGTGTGGAACGGGGCCCAGATGCCCAAAAGGGTGAGGAGGCTCATTAATAAGGGGCCTCCCCACCTGTCCCAGTTCAGGCCTGAGTGGGAGACAGAGGGAGAGAAGTCTTCCCCACAGGTAGTTGACAGGGAGACTGGGGTAAATTTCGGGCCAGCTGAGGCCCCAGGGCAGGAGCTCTCAAAGTCCCTCATGCATGAGCACTGCTGCAGTGCATGCCTGTTCATGGTGCAAATTCTCATCACACCAGTTTGAAGTAATCTGGCCTTCATACTCCTCATCTGGCTAATACCTACTGCTGTCTGGTTTTGGCTTAGATGTCCCTTCCACAAGAAGACCTTTGTAATCACCCCTCACCCCACCTCAGATGGCTCAGTTCTCTTCCCATGAAACCATTGCCTTCAGTGTTTCCTCTTTTGAAATTTGTGTCATATTTGCAAGTATTTGTTTAACATCTGTCCTACACTGGATGGTAGGGACTGTGAGCTTCATTTAGGACACGCGCCTCGTCTGTCTCATCCATCACTCCACCCCTGGGAGACACACAGGGCCTAGCACAGAGCAGGCTCTCAATAAGAATCTGTTGAATGAACGAACACCATAAAGCATAGCAGTGCCATGTTGAACAGTGTCCCCCCGAAAATTCATGACTACCCAGAACCTCAGAATGCAACCTTATGGGATCAGAGTGGGCCCTCTCTGCAATGACTGGTGTCTTTACAAGAAGGTCACACGAACACGGAGACAGAGATTAAGTGATGCATCTACAAGCTAAGGAGCACCAAGGACTGCTGACAACCAGCAGCTGGGAGAGGGACATGGAACAGACTCCCCTTGAGTCTCCAGAAGGAACCAACCCAGCTGCCATCTTGATTTTGGACTTCCGGCCTCCAGAAGTGTGAGCGCATGCACTCCTGTTGTTTTCAGTCACCCAGTTTGTGGTGGTTCATTACAGCAGCCCCAGGAAGCGA